TGAGGGGGGGCAGTACCCAATTTAGGGGGATTTGGTAAGCATCCTTGTAACCCCTATAAGCCATATAGTAACCCCCATTATCCCCACTATAAGCCTACTTACTAAGTCCCCCTGAGCTGAAATGGTACCCTAAACCCTAAGCCCTAAATCCCCAATCCCTAAACCCTAAACCCTAAGAAATGGTACCCCTGAGCTTCGCGGGAATAGAGGGCCTTGGCGGCGGCCGTCGCGGTGGGGAGGGCGACCTGATGAGCGCAGGGGCTTTGGGTTTACGGGGGGGGGGGGTGCCTAAACCCTAAACTCTAAACCCTAAACCCTTTGGTTTGTCAGGCTTACGGCTAGACTTTATGCGTTGTACCTATTAATTAAAGGCAATTACTACTTAACATTACTTAACTGTAGGTAAGTGGAGTTACAGGTAAAGGTTGGGGTTCTGTTGGGCTTCGGGTGATACAGGGCCTTTTTCCTTGAATAAACGCTGCAATGTGCAGGAATCCAAGAAGCGCTTTTGTAAAGCTGTTTCTAAGGCAACTTTGACAGCTTGAAGCACAGGCTCCTCCCCTGCAGTCTGCGATCCCCCGGGCCGGTTATCTTATATTCCCTGCAAAACCGTATTGGTGAGGCAAGAGATGATGAAATGGAATATGAGCAGCAACGCAAGGGCCCATTGTAAGGACCCAGTCCCCACTCTTCCTTAAGCACCAGAGACAAACCCTAAACCTTTTCAGAGGTTCCTGGTTGTATGCGGCCCCCGCATGCTGAGAGCCAGCATCTCTCCCAGATAGAGCATGGGGTATATGGGGATCTTCTTATTTTGATGTCGGGCAATTCCATATTTTCCGTGCTTCAGGGGGTCTAGAAGCCTACCGCAAGAGCCCCAGGCGCCAGACCGCAAAGCCTCAGCATTGTGCTGCGGGAAAAACATGCGCAATCTTCACATTGGTGGGATGCAAGGCGCTGTAATACAATAATACTGACACATATAATCTCAACGAGGGTGAGTCTAGGCTGCATAAGACCCATGATTCCCACCGCTCCCAAGTGGACACAACCCTATATGCACTCACAAGAACAAACATGTAAATCCAGCCTTCATATGGCCCGAATCTACCCCCCGGGCCCTTACCACTACAGCCCGGCAGCTTGCAGAAGCATTTGCCGGCTATGAGCAGAACATGATTGTGAAGTGTACGAACTTCATAAACACATGCATACACGACCACTGCTGCTGAAGGCACAGCCAAAGTCAAGTGTGACCCTAAAAGAAGCCCCAGACTGTGATGCCTGCGACCTACAACTTCGGGTTAAGGGCTGACTCAGGTGCCAGCTCGTCTGCAGACTCGAAGAGCTGCCTACGCCTCTCCGCCGACATGATCCCCCTGGCCAAAATCAAGGATGTGGTGCTCTGTGGGGTTGGATGTTTATAGGGTTGTAGGGCGTGGGGTAATGGGCAGGCGGATTGGGTGGAGCCTGGGGCAAAGCGCAAACCAAGCTCTAGCGAGTCCGGGGTATAGAGGAATGAAGTCAGCATGACCGGGTTGCCATACGACTCTGCGAAAAAAACTGAAAGTGTGTTTGCTGAGTACTAGAGACGTTTTAGGACTCTATGGTCCCAAAAGATATATATATATATACATATTATATCAGGTGAACCATCCAGAAACAATTTGTGAACCTGGTGCGGTGAGTAGTACAAACGAGGGCGGGGTGCAGTTGAGCTTGAGATCTCTAAACTGAACTCGCGCAAATTTCACACTTAAGTCACGCCATGGAAAAAGCCAGGCGGAACCCCACCAAGGTTACCGTTGTATGACCCTATCGCCTCCCCACTGGGCAAAACCCTATGGGTGGTTGTCAAAATTATGGTCCCTTTTTGGGTACCCTAAATATTAGGGGCCATATTATAATAGGGACCCAAAAAGGGACCATAATTTTGACAACCACTCCTATGACTCTGATTCCTATCGCCTCTGCACGAGGGCGAAACACCACCCTAACACCTTCGGCTTCATTCATCCGCAACATGCTGGATGAGCATTGCCCGTCCACGCTAAGACCTATACAGTAGCTTTCACGAATATCTCGGCAACTCCTTGCAGAGGTTATTGAAGCCCTTGACATAATCATCTGGGAGCTTCATCAATTCAAGCCCAAGGTCCCCCTTCTTACAGGTGAAACGACACATTCCATTGAAAGACTACCTGGTATTCAGTACTGAAGGAAGGAGGGTAAGGACAACGCCAGTAGCCCCCATGCAATCCGTAGAAATAACCGTTTGTACGAGCAGCAAGGAGAAGCAGTCCAGCTACCCACTCCTGTCGAACCTCCCAATAGCCCCAAATGTCCCCCCATGTAGTACTGGGGTGATTTTGGAGGTGCTCCATATCCGGTATCCTTGAGCCCCATAAACCTAAAATCCCCAAAGCCGAGACTCAAGCCTTTGGGAAGTCTGTGTAGCAACCCTAAATCCTAAATGGAATTTTCCATGTTCTTTTCGATTATCCCTATATAACTCCTATATTATACGCTGTAATCCCTAGAATCCATGGAGCTTCCATTTTCTTTTCCATTATCCCTATACAACCCTAAGCCCTAAACCTTGAACCCTAAGCCCTAAATCCTTTATAAGAAGTCCCTAAACCCTAAACCCTAAATCCCTAAACCCTAAACCCTAAATCCCTAAACCCTAAACCCTAAACCCCAAATCCCCAAACCCCAGGAGGTCCAAGCCTTCCTCCTCCTCCTCCGCCTCCGTCACTCTTGCCGCCACCTTTGCCTCCGCCTGCCGTTGCAATGCAGGCGAGTTTTTGGGGTTTCAGGGGTTTAGGGGTTTAGGGTTTAGGGCTTAGGGGTTTAGGGTTTTGGGATTTCAGGGGTTTCAGGGTTTAGGGTTTAGGGCTTCAGGGTTAAATGTGTAGGAGTGTAGGTATTTAGGGGTTTCAGAGTATCAGGTTTAGCCGTTTAGGATCCTAGGATCCCCAGGAACCTAGACTGAACAGGTGCCTTTTGTGGAATGTAGCTGATTCTGGTAAAGAGCTTAGGATGTCACAAAAGAGGGCTTAGCTCAACCTTCCTGGTGATAGGAGAAACAGTCAGGGTAAATCTTGTAGCATCCGACCAGGCGGATGCAATCTGCAACTATCTAAACGCCAAAAAACTTCGATTCGACTTGTTTTCCACACTGAATCTTGAGATAAGAGGTTTCTTTCCGAGCCAGCCGGGTGACTGTGCAGGCCCAGCAATGGCGTGTTGAGGAATATGGCTTGAGTCTGGGAAGGGTTCCTAATCCAGACTCCCCCAAGGGATACCAACAATGCAACCCGCCAAAATGAGCGCTTACTACATTTGGGACTGCTTTGGATCCTTTAGGGGGTCGAATAAGCTTCGAAACCCTAATTGAAAGGTCACTAATTCGATTTTAAAGGACCCTGCCCCAAACCAACACAGAACTACGGTAAGCTGTGGGCCGCGTAGGGATTATAAGGGGTTTAAGGTGGTCCTGCGAGGCCGTCTTGATAGAACCTGATGGCTGGAGGCTGCAAGGAGCCGTCCCCCAATTTGCTGACTGGCTCTTGGTAGGGAATAAAGAATATTAAGTATAGGAATTGTATTCTTTTCTTCCTTACTAAGAATTCTTAGTAGGGAGTAAGGGAACTAAGTATATAGGGATTGTTTTAAGAACCTTTAAGTTTAGAATCCTCCCAGCAATCTCCGGACCTGGCCTGGCAGGTGGGCATGGAGGACTTCAGCCCCAAGCACAAGGGGCTTCTTTGTCAATGAGTCAATCATCGTACTGCTGGTTCGTAGGAAGTAACGGAATATAGTCCCTATATAATCCTTTATTCCGAACTAATCCCAAACCAGAAACCCTAAACCAGGAATTAGGGTTAAGGGGTTTTTAGTATTGGGTTTGGGGTATATGAGCTCAAGCGCATTTCTGAACTAAGGGGTACTGGGCAACCATCTGGGAGCCCTAACCGCGCCTTTGTCGCCGCCCATTTTGCCCTTGCCGGCGCAACCGCCCATGCCACCACCCATGGGCATCCCTCGGCCGGCAGAACCTCCTTCCACCTGTCAGTATTGGAGTAAGGTTTGGGGCCAGTGTAGGGCCTTATCCTACTGGAATAAGGTATTGGTTATGCTATTTCAGAAAGAAGAATTACAATGGAATTATTAAGGTTTTAAGTATGGATGCTTCTACATTTTGCTCATGGGTGGGTCTCTGGGACCTGAAAATTTGAGTTCGGTTTGCGGTGCAGATTGGAATTTAATGGGTAGTCTCTACTGGTGGTTAGTAGGGAATAAGGAATTATCCCTACATAATACCTATTCCCTTATTGCCTACGAAGGAGCAGTAAGAAAAGGTGGCTTCGGGCTACGGGCACTGCCACGATGTCACGGGAATGCATTCTCCCTTCACTTAGGCGGGTCCTCTTTTGGAATGGAGTCTCTTCAAAACACAAAACAACATCCCATGTTGTTCACTCATGCTCCATGCATAAACCCAAGGCACTCCAACAGAAATCATATTTTCAGCAATTCAGGCAACTACACTGTAATAAACAACATTGCTTCGCACTGAGGAAAGGCTAGCGGCTAGCTTCCACTTCGCACTTGCAGCAGATGTCGTGAAGCCAAACAGTCCGGGTCTTTGGAATCTTGTGCGGATGCCATTTAAGTTTTCATGTCAGCCAACAGTTTGGGGAACTCTTTCAACTTCCATCCGTTCGTGATCTGTTAGGTGGAAGCAAGGAATCTGCCTCCTGTTGTCCCCCAACATGCCCCCAATTGATTCCCGCAGATCCGAACTGGCATGGAGAAGGTTGCAAAAGAAAGCCGCATGAACGTGAAAGCTCTTGCCAAGTTTAATTTCTAATTGCAAACCTGTCCGCTTTGCCATTGCTGTGCGCCGTTCTAATCCTCTGGGCTGGTAGTTTGTGCGAATGCAAGCATGCTGCCGCATTCCAAGGTAAGTTCGCCCCTGGCTCCAACCACATGCCACATGAGTCCTAATAAGCCCCAGAAACTCCACCCTGAACACGGTTTAGCCTTCGGTTTGAGATATTCAAAGTAGGGTTCCGATGATAGCTTCATGACATAACTAGCCCGTATTACGGGGAGCCCTCAGAACACCCAGATTTGCAAACATATCACTAGAATACCGCGAAGCCCTGAACCCTCGCATCCCCAGTACGATGCCTATGTAGTAGACGTTTTCAAGCACAAATCCTCGTAAGGACCATCGTCGCTAAAGTTGACTCAGATTTCCAGAGTATAGGTTCACTACCGCCCTCTGTGGACGAAGCAAACGTGTTCACCCGGAACTCTGAAGCGCCAAGCCCCTAAGCCTTTCAACCCTGCGCTGCCCCTGCTCCAAGTCTAAACCTGTAAAATCCTAAAGCCCTAAACCAAACGTAAGCCACCACCTCACCGGAATCCTCCCCCCCATAGAGCTCCTACCATGACTGAAACCATACCTAGTATCCACAAGGTAGGCATATTGCGAAATACAAATACTATCTGTAAGATAAATTGCAACAAATGACAAACGATAGGATATGGGCTATAGTCTAAACTCCTAGCATCCCCCTCAGTATGCCCATGCTACTCCCCTACATAATCCCCTATGTAGCCCCCTTTAAGGAGTTTAGACTATATATAGCTCATATCACCTCATTGTACTTTGCGGGATCCATATCTACCACATCCACGGCCTGGACGTTCTTTGCGCAGCTTTTGCCCTGGCTATCACGGTCCGGTGATCACCGGCGACTTTACTCTAGGGCTCTAAGGACTCATATTTAAAGGAATTTGGGCCCTAATCCTATATAATATGAGGTCTCAAGGTGATTTTGAGGCTCAGGGTAAGGCTTTAGCACCGGGGCAATACTGTAAGGTTTTGCGCCCGCGTTGAGAGAAACTTGGAGGTGCACGGGAATCTATGGTGGGCCCCGAGGGCGAAGAGCCGTGCCATAAGAGCGCATGCGCTGCGAAGGCCTCCTCGCAACACCTCACCCAGCAATTATCAAAGCCCCGCACACTGTGCTGCATTCGAGGCCTTGTTTGGGGAGGAAACGTACCCCGAACAAACATGGAAGCAAATGTGGTTGCCGCCAAGGCTCCTGTCAGAAGGACAAATCTTGTAAAACCTGAATCCTGAACCTGTATAAATCCAGAATTATTCTGCATGAGCCCCCGAACCCTGTAAACCCCAAAGCCTTCACCTTTCTGAATCGAAACCATATCTAACACCTAGTCGTAGTAATATTGGTAGTGGCATTGGCAGGGGTACTATAACAAGAACAAGAGCCGTCGTAATATTGATCTGGGCTGCTGTTAAGGAACCAGAACTAAGTTACCACAACAAGGAAATCGTTTGATTTACTAAATGGAGCCCTTTTTAGTCCAGCATCTTCACAGCCACCCTGTAACAGCAATACCTGTATAAGCATACCTGTAGCAATAACAATGAATGTAGCAAGTATGACATATTAACAGACGTAATGGTAACAGCAATAGCACTAATAATGTGCTATAGGAATTAATTGTCTTCACATCCGACAAGCCTGGCAATTTGCACTGGCGCCTTGGCATCATCGAAAGCCTCAACGAATGTCACGCGATCACCTAGCGACGTATCAGAAGTGTTGGGTATTAGGGAGGCATACCATGAAACATTAGCGTTGTCCCCTAGAAGCCCAGATACCTATATATTGGGTTCCTGTCCTTAAGTCCCTATATATACTTATAATATTTATAACCCAAGGGCCTACTATATGGGTACCTGGGCTTCTAGGGGTCTATAGGATGTAACTTGGTTGTGAGTTGGGTTTTCCGACCCATGCCTCGCGTCATTTACTGTCAGTGTGGGACCCCAAGGCAGGACAAAAATGTGCGTACCGAAATGTGACATGGCGAGGTTCCATCCTCCTCCGTGCTCCTACCGCCCGGCCGTAGGCCCAAGCATATGCGAGATTGCCCAAAACACATTTCTCCTCAAACGGACGAACCAATTTTGGGCCACTTTGCGGTCGCATGATCATAGGAATACGAGTATGGGGATGCGTATTTGTCAAGATTGAGGTGTCCCCTGAGCGTTCAACACCCCCGCCTTGTCGCAGAGTGGAATCGCCTCCCCGTTGATAGTTGCCTTAGAAGCAATATAGGTAAGTGGCAGAAATCATTCTTTGTAGGGAGTTTTTTAAAAGTTCGGGGTACATCTTTGAGTGTCGTGACTAAGCTCACAGGCATACTGCGTTAGAGGCTTACAACATGACTCTGATCTTACAAGCAGCAAAATCTCCAGCTTTCACTCTGTGTGGGTCGCGGGCTTGAAAGATGGAAGGGTTCTTCTCAAGAGACCTATAAAGAAACTACAATACTGCGGATACGGGGAATCTTGCAGCACCCTAATCCCCAAACCCGTCCCTAAACTCCACAAATCGGGGATCTTGAGTGGTGCAAGATTTTCGATCCGCTGTAGTTTTCTCTTTTGCCGGGTTGCTGCTAGGGAACTTAAATTGGGTTACCATAATATGAGTATATAGAAAATAACTGGGTTTTCTGTATGCAGTAACTTAACTTAAGTGCCTTTATAGCACTACAATTTGAGGTGAGTCATCCTCGGGCTCTCTCATTATCTGCGGCCCATAATTTAACTAGGCGCACTAAGGAACCCTTGGGATACATAAGGTATATAAGGAGATTGTAGGGTTTAGGGCTTAGATTTCTGTAGGACTACGCCGATAAACTATCACATGTCTGATGGCCAGTCTGCTGGTTGATTTGCAACAACACAATCAACCATTACTGGTGAGCAAAAGTATCTAGGTTAGGAACCCTGAGAATAGCAAAGTATGGAAATTCACAGATCGTCACAGTTCACCAAAAGACGCCATGCTCTACGGCCGGAGCTGATACTGCTACTAGCCCTTGCAGCATTTATGAATGAAATAATGATGCGCTGGGGTTCAGCTTAGATGTCTCCATTTTGGCGGCCCTTCGGAGAGCCAGGGAAATCTCTTTCCTGCTCCAGCCCGGGGCATACTCTAAGCATACCGATCGAATGAACCCGAACATCTGACCATGTTACCATCAAACTAAGCCTTAAACCCTACCCTACACTGACACTGCCCATCTAGAATCCTTAGCCCTCCACGCTGCAAAAAGGTCATGTTTAGGTTCTTTTTGTCGTTCCTGACTCGTATAACCCATTTAGTAGTTTCCATTTTGTTTTCCATTATCCTTACATATCCCCAATATGTACCCTATAATCCCTATATAACCCCAGTCCTAATCCCTTCCAGACTTGGGCTTGTCCTTAGCTACGCCCGACTTTGAGCTTCGGGCGGGGCAGTGAGGAGAAGTGCACGAACCTCGAGCAGTTCGGATTCTGGAGCTTAAGGGGGATTTAGGAATGTTCAGGGCTTTGGATTGGACAGAAAACGAAAATGAGAATAGAATCGCTAGGGTTTGGGAACAGAACAGAAGATCGATGAGGGTTGACTGCTTAGGGCTGACTGGTGCCTCAGTGGAGTGGCGGAGGAGACATAGGTACTGCTATGGGTTTTGAATAATGACCATTATAGCGCTCCATTGCCGCACTCTCCGTCGAACACCTGGAATTTTGGCACAGAGTTCACACTCCAGAGAAGATAACCCCTTCTGGGGGTTCCCGTGCTGAACGATAGAGCTTGCAGACCTGACGATTCTACTGTCTAGGTCCTGCCAAGGCCTGCAAACCATACTTTCAACAACGCACAAGTATTGAATGGTGTACTCAAAAGTGTGGGACTCTGAATGGCCACATGGGAAGGGCTTCCGAGTTCGTTAATCAGGCCTTAAGCAACTCCAAAATGGAACAATTTAATGATGGAGACCTCAGCTTGCTTCATGGCTGGGTGGGGAACGGATTCCAGCACGGATTCATGATTCATTCATGCTCAGGATCTCATTGTTGGGCCGCTAAGGATGACTGCATGCCTGACAGATATGGGCTGTTGCGCACACCCTGCAGCTTATGCTTCAGGATCTTAGGGGGCCCGCAAAAGCCGCGGAAAAGGGAACATTCGTGGAATCTCCCACATCGAATGTAACTTGAAACAGGTTGGCGTGCCACCTCACAACTCTCCCAGAGCTTCATGAAAGCCATGTTCTGCTACGCTATAGGGCTTCATGTCTAGATGAGACAGTGAACACACTCGAGTAGGGGAAAGACTACTGCCAAATACTCCTGCTATCCTCATACGTAGAGCTCGCCAATGCTTTCATGCGCCCATTGAAGCAGACACAACAATCAATTGGCTTGATATGTTCCATGGGGGAGGGGTGCAAGGCCCCTCAGGATTGGGGTCTCCATTCAACACATCCAAAAATCTAGCTTGTGGCAGGTTGCAGGTGGACGGCCCTTGCACCGGACAGGATCCCCTGCAAACCCGCACACCCCACATCCACAAGCGAAATGCCCAGACTCACTGATCTCATGTCTGCCGCTGCCGAATTGCTTAAAATTGTTACGTCGGCTTGCTGAAGCCGTGCTGAAGCCCTGTTTAGGACATACATCATCCTCTTTCACTCATTGTAATGTCCTGCGGCCGCGCAACAAGTCTTTATCTCCTCCTCCGTCCACCTTGATGAAGCCAAAGCCCTTCTCGCCATCCCAGTTGGAAACCTTACTCACGTGTTTAGGGCTGAGGGGGTGTAATTCCCTGATCTTAAATCTCCGTGGCTTTGCACAGTAAGTTCCTATGCGAGGAAGCCGAAGAAAAGCTGTAAACTCTTTGCAACAATGAAGATGTTCCGCAACATGACAGGTACTATCTGGGACCATTCATGGGTAGGGGTGAGAGTGCTGATCTTGATGAAGTTCCACTCTGCCAAGTCCAATGGAACTTGAGGGATGAAGAAAACTTGCTGCCTTGATGGTATCCATGAAGTAAGGTTAAGGTTTAGGGTTTCGGGTCTGGTCTTAGGGTTTAGGGTGTACTTGGGGTTTAGGGTATGTTGCTTCATGAACCCTGGAAAACATCAATCTATTCGGGCCGCATCTCTGGCATCCGGATACATACCCTACATGGGTATCTTTTCAGAGCAAGGACTTTTTTGGAGACACCCTCATGAAAGATCATGCGATAGTCCACAAGACCAAAGCCCAAGCAGAGCTGTATATAAGGTGACCGTGCCGCAGCGTACTCACAAATCTCCAGTACTTCTGAGGCGAGTTGCAGTTCCCTGCTTGAGACCCGGGGGTGCTCCTCCACTGGGACCGCCTGACAATCAAACAATCACAAGATTTATTCCAGCTATCGGAAGATATTTTCAAGACCTCGCTTGAACTAGCTCGGGACCATTCTGTGTATGAACCGCCATTTCAGGTGAGGTCGCCTAAACTTGACCACTTACTGGTGATTAGCGGGAGTGGGTGAGTGGATCCCCACGGCTTTCCCTATCCGATGCCCTTTTACATAAACTCCCACTATGATACGGTTATGCACCTCTACTCCCCCTGAAGCACTGGTACGCAGAGAACAGGGCTCAGTTAAGGGTCTACAACTCAGACCTGGAGGTTTCAGTTTGAAGGTTTGGAGAGGACTTCCAAGCGCTCTAACATACGCAATGCTTTGAGTGACTTTCTTTGTCACATGCTTTCAAGGATCTTTGAAAAGTTCTATGCTATGTCACATCCTTCAAATGTCTATAAGGCCAAAACATCACGGGGCCGCACTGTAAGAACAGTTTCTAGATATCCCTGCTGCAACCCCACCGCAAGCTGACTGCAAAACGCCTCAGCAGCCGGAGAACTCCCGACAGTAGAATGATGTCTTCAACCCAAACATGAGTTTATGCTGGAAGATTCTTAAACCTACTCTCCTCTTACTGGTAGGGATTATATGAGGACTATATTCCCATATTTCCTACTAAGAACCCGTAAGTCTTGAATGAAACCAAAGCAACGATCTATATACATGTCATCTTCCCCTGAACCCTGACCCCCCCCCCACCCACCCCGTCCCCTGATAATCACTATCTCCAAAATCATATCATGCAACAAGGCGGCATATTCGAATATCCATTATTGGGGAAAGGGGAGGGGGCCTAATTATGATAGCAGTTACTGATCGAAGGAGGACTGTTGACCCCAAGTCATGGTGCACCTGCTGGACGCATTTGGAAGAGAGATAAGCCATGGTCTTGGAACAGTTAATATTCCGTACAAAAAGTCTTTTAGACGAATGACCATTCCAGCCCCAAGACACCACGTAAATCCTTCACCCTTAACAGCACAATTTGTTAGACCTTCGTTGAGGTCCCACGAAAGATCGGAATAGGGCCTCCGGAAATGTTATGCAATAACTACGGTTACTTTAGCACGCGCCATTCAAGGATAGCATCTAGCGAGGCGCATTACGTACCTCTGCGTTCCTTGTAGTAGTAACTACGGCCGGACATAGATTATATAACCTGAATGCTTTCTGAATTAGTATAAATACATTCCCTTTTCAGCCCCTGAAGCATGCTGAACATTGAAAACTTTCCCCCTGCAACTCCGAGAATGATTTTCACTGGGGGTCGGCCTACGAAGAACACCTTCTTGGACCCTACCCCAAAATTCGAAATTTCTTCATATCATCTTTTTAGGGCCTCTAATGGGGACTTGCAGAAACCCATATATCCTCCGAGTCCCCCACCCGACGCTCTCGACCCTGTCGCCTAAAACTCCCCGGGAGCCCTCATCGGGCCCCTAAAGGTCCCATGTACCTAAACCCAAATCCGTACGCAAACATTCCCACACACATACATGTATACGCGTATATATGATATACGTTTTATTATGTATGTATGGATGTATGTATGTATGTACCTATATCCCTATAGGTCGGTTTCAAAGGTCCCACAGAGCAAACCTCTTTAAGTCAGTGGAAGAAGCCTCCGAAGCCCCCTCCAGGACGAGGGCCACCTGCACCACCGCCACCGCCGCTTCCTAGCAGCTACTTATACACGTAGGGGTTGCATAGGGCATAGGTACATGGGCTACATGTACGGGCTATATATGAGGATACATCAGAGTCTTACATCAAGGTTAAGAAGTGCTTAGGGATATACAGCATATATGCGGTAATGTGGTAGGTTATCAAAGTCATGGTCCCATGTTGGGTCCCAATCTGCTTCGGCGCTTAACATTTAGGTTTCCCTAATGGGATCCAAAATTTTGACCCCGCCCCCACCAGTTGTAGAGGTTACATAAAGAGTGTTTACAGGGATTGCGATAGGTGCTATGTAAAAGGGTCAGCATAGGGACATGTAGGATGTAGAGCTTACTCTCCCTCAAGCCAAGACACTGTTTAGGTACTGGCTTTACAGCGGCTACTTGCCCTGCCACAAACAACCATGGAAGCCCTTTAAGGGGCTTCATAAGGATTTTACAAATAGCGAAATGTGGGCATGTCTAGAGTTTAGGGAAAACATGAGCCTGTTCCCTCAACAGACTGGGGTTTAGGGCTTAGGGTTTAGGATGCGCTTCCATGTTTTGGTTGGGGAGGTTACTGCGGCGTACAGCAGTGCTCCCGCCACTAAACATGATTTCACAAATATGTATGTACATATGTCTGTAGGGATGGCGATGTCATTGCCATGAATTCTTCGTGATCACTGTACATTGGGTGAAGGCGGCACCAGTTCTGACGAGGGAGCAAATTTGCGTTTAGGGTCAAGAAGGCCAAAATAACCCCAATATCTTCCCTACTATAATCTAGGAGTTTCCATTTTCTTTTCCATTATCCCTATATAGCCCAGATATGACCTTCAACCATTAGGGTTTCTATTCCCACAGGGGTAAGGAGATCCCACACGGATTGCTATTCACTCCCCCCTCGGTCTTAAAAGCAAGCGCCTAAGGTTAGAAGCATAGGCCTTGAGGATGAGCCTGTTATGCTGGGGTCCCTTTATACCCCGTATATACGCTACTTGAGCTACTGTCTAAACTCCTAGTATCCCCCTTAAGAGCCCCTATACTACTCCCCGATATAACCTCTCCTATAACTCCCTTTTAAGGAGTTTAGACTATGGCTCACTTGCCTGTAGGTGCCGGGATATTCGGGGCCCTAAACCCTAAAGGAGGTTCGAAGCGGGCTTTGGGGGTGTGGGTAGGAGCTTTCTCATTCGTTGCTGGCAAAGCCGATGTAGGAGCCTTACTACCAAGGAACGTTACACCAATATTGTGGTTCTAAATTCCCACGATATGTGGGGTGAAGCATACCAGACCTACACCTCAATATGATATTGGTACTTCAGTCACCTACACTGCATGACTATTTCGAGGGACCGTTGCCACAGTCGGAACGTAAATAATTACAGGGGGATCCTTCTGAATTCATGGAACTCCTCATCCTGCTATCTTCACATCGGAGGATCACCAGAGTCATTGTTTGGGTAGGGCGCGAACCCTCTGTGAGGACCAAAAGAAAAGAATGAAAAGATGTTGAGCTCAAGCCAGGTACGATGGATCTTAAAAGTACCGGTACCGTCTACCCTGAGAATTAGCCACATCTCTGCATACTCGTTCAGGGCAAAACGAAATGATCTACAGAATCCATGTATATGAGCTATAGTCTAAACGCCTAGTATCCCCTTAATAACTCCTGTAGTAGCCCCCTAGAAAATCCACTATATAACCCCCTTTAAGGAGTTTATTACTATAGCTCATTTTAGGGTTTAGAAATAGCCACAGTCACGGGGGCCCTGCCTTCCACCTGCACGTTTTTGGCGCAGAGCTTGCCCTGTCAAATGCTGCTCACTAGATCGCATTAAGTAAGGAGCTTATCGGGATTTACCTGGGCAATCTAAGGGTTAAGTCGGGCATCTACAAGCGCTCAGGGTACCCTACTGGTGATGCTGCATGTCCTCAGGTATGCTGTATGAGCCATAGTCTGAACTCCTACTTAAAGGTGGTTATATAAGGGATTGTAGGGGGAGTAAATTATAGGGCTTGTTGAGGGGGATACTAGGAGTTTAGACTATAGCTCACATACTCCATAATTCCAAGGTTGAGGTATACTGGGTCCTGCAGGGTTGTGCCCATCAACCCTATCTAGCCATGTCTGTGGCTACCTAATCCTCCCGCCAAAGAATAAAACCTCCCCACGCCCTAATACTAGATTCTGCCCATTGTGATACATGTTATAGTACACTGAGAATATTTGATATTAGTTGGGGGGTGGGCGCGTTTAATATCGGAGGGAGGAGATTATGTCGCATCCTAGCCAATGTTTTTTTTTCCTGGAGCCCCCGACCAAACATCGGGCTCAACTCACCAGAATGGAGGGCAAAGACAAACTCCTCACTTTGTTCTTGGCACGTACCCTGGCAGTGACATTGACACATGCGATCTTTTCCAGTGAGCTGCTGTGCCGCTATACACACCTGTTATCAGTAATTGGCAAAAGTACCACCAGTGACCGTGCTTACATATTTCTCTCTGTGCAGCCAGATTCATGGGTGCAGGCCACAAAATCTCTCTAACTGGTACGACCGTGCCTTCTTCGGGTCGATCTCCTGGTCAAAGATCACCTCAAGGGTTTTGGTCGAACCACTGCATCACAGCCCTGCGCAATAGTTCAGCCCAGAGTCTTGAACCTTGATCCGTTAAACCTCCACACCCAAACCTCCCAACTGCCTCTTCGTCCCCTAGCACCAGACTGAGCCTCGAGACGCAACCTAAGGGTCCAAGTGCCTAGATAATAAGTGCCTTGGGCCCAAAGTACATTTACAGGAGCCAAGTTGGCCAGACAATGTAAGATACTTGGACCCTTGACTTCAATCCTTCACTACCCTAAACCCTTTACTCTGAATCCTCTTTGGGGAGAGACTGCGCTCTGAATCCTAAACCCTAAGCCCTGAATCTTCAACCAAAGCCCTGGGTCTTACACCCTACACCCTAAATCCTAAACCCAAAATCCTAGACCCTAAGCCCTAAACTCAAGACAACCCTAAATCCTAAACCCTAAACCTCCTTCCCTGAGGCCCTAGCCTATGGTGAACTTGGAACACCAGAAAAAAATCATAATGTTTGCTGTTCCTTGGTATTATAGTAAGCAAAAAGTAAAAATATTTCCCAGTACCCCTGAACCCTAAACCCTAAACCCTAATCCCTAAATCCTTAACCCGAAACCCTAATCCCTAAATCCTAATCCCTAAACCCAAACCCTAAACCCTAAACCCTAAACCCTGAGGCCCTGACCCGGTCTCCACTTTGAAGGACTTGCGTTCCATTGCGCTGGTACTCGCGAGGCAAGTTGGAGAAGTGAACAAAAATATCCTGGCAAGATTGTTGGGAAGGGCTTAGGGCATGATAAGGGGTTGAGGGCTTAGGGTTTGATTAAGATCCAAGGTTTATGATTTAAGGTTTAGGGCTTAGGATGTGAGGGTTTAGGATGATAGGGTTCAAGGTTCTGGTTTCAACGATTCAACAAGATGCAGAACAGCAATGGTATTTCTGGTAGCAGTTCAAACTTCTGATCACTGGTTTGTGGGGTGACTATGCAGGTTTCGGACTTCGGACTTAATGTCGGGACCCTGGTCTGACAAATGCTGTTTAGGGGAGAATAAATGCCCGGAAGTGTGCTTGAACTACTGCCCTAAATCCTAAACCCTATGTATCCCCTAACCCCTGTGAAGCCATTTAAAGGTAGCCTCTGTGCAATCCCCTGTATGGCTTGGGTCTGGTGATTCCAACTCAGATTTGCAACTCGAAGGTTTCGTGTTTGGGGACTGTGGGTTTTAGGGTCCTAAACCCTAAACCCTAATGGTTTACTTTGGGTTGTGGGACCTCTAGGGTTGAAGGTTTGTGGGGGAGATATGGGGTTTGGGGGCGCTCATGGTAGGTTCCAGGCGGCCATAGACCTAACAACCAGCTGTAGTCGTCGAAACGACCTCTGCATTAGACCCTGAACCCTGGCACACATAGGAGCTGAGCTTCGAAGCCACAAGAGAAACTGCATTTTTTGATACGTCCAAGCATGACTGAAGCAGGAAGAAATACGAAGACGCCCTCCCCAGTATAGGAACAAGTGGTAGTTTCCCCAAATAGGGGGACCCCAATAGACCCCAAAATATTAGAAACCCTGTTGTTGGGAACCCCAAGAAAGGTACCCTAATTTTGGGGAACCCCCAAATAGGTACAGACATAACCCTGTTCTGCAGGAGCAAGTGCTGACCTCGGTGCCGCGGTCAGGTTTGATGAAGCCAAAACCTTTCCTCAGATCCCCAAGGGCCCAGGGTGTAGGGTTGGGTTGAGGGTTTATAGGGAGTATAGGGTTTGGGTTCAGGGTTGAGTTTAGAGTTTAGGGTTTGAGGGCTTAGGGGAGAGGCTATGTAGCCTATGTTAGATGCCTAATGCTCAGGCTTCAGGGCTTCAGCTGCGGCCCAGCGTCTCTTCATCGTACTTAAGAACAGAGCCTGGCCAACACACGTGGAAGGAGAGGGGTTTAGGGGGTCAAGGGCGATCAGAAACATGACCATGATCTTGGGCTGGGGTAACCTAGCATTCTGCGCAGCGCGTTGGTTTGGAAGAGCAGGGTCCCAACAATGAAAAAGACCAACATTGCGAACACCACAAGTACCTGATCTTTCAACGAAGGGTGGGGAATTGAAGTGATTTCATCCGGAAAAGCACGGGAAAAACAAGCTTAGATCTTGCAATCGAAGTCGGGGAAACCCGGTAAAGTGATTGAATCTTTCTGGAACCCTAGAATATCTGCAGTATATTGCGCTCCTCGCGATCGGCCGTCATCGCGGCCACCGCCGCCTCCTCCGCCTCCACCACGGCCACCTCAACAAATGGATAATGTATACATAGAATAGGGTTTGTCGGGTATAACATGATATAGTTCTGCAAGCATGATGGGGGAACCATTTTACGTTGGCAAACATGTAGGGTTGGCTGTACAAGTCCCCCGGGATTGTACAGTTGAAGGTACGCACATGTCACCCGAAGAGGGACTTGGTAGACTGCTGTCCTATTAAATGGGCATGCATGTTTCTTTTTTTCGTGTGGGGAAGCATGGGGCTACTGGAGCTTCACTTTGCGGCGTGTTTGATCGTCTGGCGCGGTATCAAAGTTATGGACTCCTTTTCTAAAGCTCGTTTTCATGCAGCACTTAACTTTTGACGGGTATCCAGCAAAACGAGTTTGACTACCTTGCAAGGTGATGGTTTTACCATTGCAATAACTTACCCTGGGCTAGCCATGGCATGGCTGTCTCCGCAAAACCAGTCCTACCGCTTAATGCCCTATCACCAGAATAACTCGGATCCATGTGTTCTCCCCGAAAGGCTGCAGCTAAAGCTACAAGCTGCCAACTAGTAGCTTCCTAGGCCTGGGTAAGTCAGACAAGAACCCACTTGGGAAAGGAGTGCGCGGTATGGATATTTGGTCCCCTTGGGTAAGAAAATTTATTTGACTGTGATTTTGAAACTTCCTATCATGCCTGCAAGTCCTTAATTGGTCCCTGAATGTCCCGAACCCTAAGCCCCAAACCCTAAACCTCCTCCACGGGGCCCCAGGAACACAGACTGGTTGATCATGACGGAACCCACCCTAGACTCTAGACAGATCGGCTAGCCTGAAAACATGAACAAACACGCGACACGCAGTTTAGGGTTTAGGGATGCAACTAGCCCACAGAAGCCTTCTAAACAGAAGCTGCAATCTGAAAGAAAAATCCCAGCTAGACCCGTCATGCTGCAGCGTGACAAACTAGACCAGCGCCTACCAGCAACTTGCAAGCCAACTGCGCAAGTCAGTCAATGCAGCGATACGCTAACAGCTGCCCATGCACCCGGGTTTCGACATCAACCGCTAAACCCCCAAACCCAAGCTCCTGAAACGTAAAAACCCATGGAACATAATAGCCCAATGTAGGTACTATCTATAGGCAGACTTTAGGCCCCATGTAGGTCTTATTTGTATACTTGGAGGGCTGAAGCCCTAGCTCCTGAAACGCTAAAACCTGAACCCTGAACCGCAGCGCCTCCCTTGTCGAAAAAGGCGTCACCACGGCGTTGTCGAGGGCTCCGACTTCTATCTCGGCCGCCTCCTGGTGGAAATGGCATATGAGTATGAAGCCGTCAACAGTAGGGTAACTTTCAAAGGGATATAGGGGTATATAGGCCTTTTTTTGCTTGGGGTCCAACAATTAGGGGTACTCCTTTGGGGGCAGGATTATGGGATATTGGGATCCATATTGGGGTCGCCCAATCATGGGAAGTTACCAATACAAATATAGTCTAAACTCCTAATATCAAACTCCTAGTACCCCCCTTAATAACACCAAAAGACGTAAAGTAGCCCCCTATATAATCCCCACTAAATCCCCCTTTCAGAAGTTCAGACTATAGCTCATATGAATCTGTGATGTGGATGTTTTCGACTTTCTTTTCCATTCCTTCAATCCCTGCCCTTGTATGCATGTGGACTCTGAGCTGCCGGCCACAAATGCCACAACTCAGGACTGCTGCCCGAGACGCAATGATTTTTCCAGTCACTTTGCTGGACATATTTCTAACAGAAGTACAACTTGAAATTAGAACAAGATAAGCTGATGCCATTCAGGATCCGAGGCAAGTATGCATCAAGAAGGTTTTGATCAAGGAGGATGCTCATACTGCAAAAAGAAGGCAGCATTTTGGTATGGCCGGTATAGTTATCGACCTCTTCGCATGCTACGGCCTGACCCAAATTGATTTACCAGATTCGAAATCCAGCAAATTGAAGGCAAGCGAGTCACCAACCCGACTGAGTCCAACGTTAAAGTGCCAGGGGACGGGGAATGCCCCAACCCCCAAACCCCTAAATCATCTAGCTCCTCCGCCGCCCCCACGCGGGGGAGTGCGGCTGCGGTCCCTTCGCATCTCCGGGCGCGGTGAGCCTCAGCACTTTGACTGGTTCCTTATTGGGATGCCTTTTTGCTGGGCTTAGGGTTTAGCCTGAGGGTTCAAGGTAGGATAGCCTGATAGTCGTTCTTGGGTGTTAGCATGAGACAAAATGGGCAACAATTGAGGGGTCCTTCTCCTCTTTAGAAGAAGCCTCCGGTGGTTAATTTTGGGTCCCAAATAATTGGAGTGGGGGTGCCAGTTATGCTCTACACTGATTTTAAGGGCACGGTATTCGTGATTATTCAGGCTTCAACTTTATGTGGGGAATGTAGCCTAGAGGGTCCAAGGACCCCAATATCGGCTTTTCTAGGTCTCAATGCATCTCATAGGCTTTTGGTACCTAACACCCAACCGTTGAGGTACTGGGACCCTGGCATATGATCACTTAGGAAACCTCCATGGAAACATCGGAGCTTCCAACGAACTGAGGCTAAGTTTTCTACAGGCTCATTGTTTCCTGAGCACATGAGAAAGCTTCCGAAATGAGGAATGCCTTGCTCAGGTCTTCTTGGGTTATATAAGGATTCAATATACTTGGTTGTCTGTCTGTAGAAAGGACCCCTGCTTGTCAAAACTCCCCACTTAACATTGGGGAGTTTCAGGACGCAGGAAGCCGAATGCTCGCACTGGACAAGCATGCCTGCACAATCTCTTTTCTCTAAACCAGGCACACAGGTGCGGTTGATGCAGCTGCTTCCCAAACTCTTTTGAATCAAGCTGCCTCAATATTGCTTGAAGCTTCCTTTTGTCCCTTCATAATATGAAACCCCAATATATACCCTATTATAATTTGTAATATAGTAGTTTCCATTTTCTTTTCCATTATCCCTATGTAAGCCCTATATAACCCTAATAATTTGAAGCTGTTTGAACCCTAAGAATTGGGAAGACACCAGATAAAGTCGCAGCCAAGGCCAGCTTACGTCCGGTTCTTAACCGGCTCGAAAAAACAGCTGGGGCTTTCCATGTGCTTTGCAGGTGGGCTAAAGCTGCTGATATCGCCGTTTCGGGTTTTAGGGTTCCGGATCTGCAGAAAGAGGATAATATTTTATAAGATGCTATTACTGTTGATTATTATTACTATTCTCACTATTACTATTTCTAGTACTATTGCCATTATTACTATTACAGCATATGGGGTATATATTATAAGGGAGACGCAATTTTTGGAGACTCCCATCTCTGATGACTTCTAACACTATCCAGGCTGAGACAGAAATTGCTTCGCAACCCTGGTGGAATTGCATGGCAGTGGACCTGGACCTATGGTCCCACTTAAACAGATAGAATATGGAACTGCCCAATATCATAATAAGATCCCTATATACCGAAAATTCTATCGACTTAAGGAGGACCCTTAACCTAGACCCTCAAGGGTGACTGAACTCTTTGATGCTCCACCTGGCAAAGTCCAGAAATGTCCACAGCTACCTGCCGTTTGATGCACGCTCACAGACCCATTCGTCCGCTGTTCCTTAGAACAATTCTTTGGATCAGTCTCTTACTCCTGAAGGTGAGAGTTTCTCAAAATCAGGGGGCTATGAGAGAACTACGGGAAGATTTTGGTCCCTGCTTGGAATTATCTAGGCAGTTTTCTAGGGAGCATGTTGAGAAACGCCCAATCTTCTTGGCAAGTCTTCATGCAAAACAACTACTTTCGGACATGTCAGTTGCCCTGCTCATTCTCAACCCTACAGTCTCAGAAAACCAGCCAAGGCACAGAGCGCCAGCAACGGAGTCAAGATCCCAGGAGCCCTGAGGGCCCACATAACCCTCCTCGGCAAACAAAGGCTCAATGGGGAACATCAGCAACCCTCATGATGACTCGTGACGCGGTGATTCATGACTAGGGCTGCGGCCGGGAAGAGGGGGAAGAGTGGGCCCTTGACCACCAGGTTGTGATGCACCATGCCGGAGAAGGCCAGCATGGCCAGGCGTCCATTGGTGAGCTCCTTGACGGCCAGCTCTTCGGCAGCAGCCTTGTCCTCAGGGAGGAAGCGCTTGCCAAAGTTCAGGTCCCCTGGGGCTCGGCTGGCACCATCCCCCTCGAACATGTCCAGCATTGTGATCTTGCCACCATAGGCGGCGCTCTCGATGTAGCCGCACAGGAAGAGCAGGACGCCGGAAGCGTTTGCAGGAGCGGTGTAGACGGCCTGCAGGGCATCAGGAGCCCCTTCGAAGCCCGGCAGCTGCCAGTACTGCTCTGCCACGAAACCAATGGTTGCAAGCATGCAAACACGGCCATGCTTGAGCTCTGACTCACGCAGCCATTTGATGTCACAGACGTCCGAGAAGCCAAGAGGGTCGAACTCAGCCTCGCCTCCGACAAGCCCACCCAAGTTCTGCGGCTTGGGAAGGAACGGCAAGCTCTTGCTGGAAGAGGCCTGGCAAACGGTTTGGCTGCCTGAGCGGGTCGGTGCCACCGCGCCGCAGAAGGCAAATCCGGTCCTCGCCTCATCCTTCTTGGCCACGGCGGACACTTGCACGTCAAAGAAGGGCCACTTGTCCTGAGTAAGCACGGCAGAGGTCACGATGCCGGAGTATGCAAGCATCGCCAACCGTCCGTTGCGTAGCTCCTTGACCTGCATGTCGTACTGGCCCTTGGGGTCGCTGGGGTAGAAGCCACGCAGACCGAAGTCTCCGGGCTTGCGATCAGTCTTTCCCTCACGCATGTTCACATACGCGAAGAGTCCAAGAACCTCCAACAAGCCGCACCAGATGAGGATCTGAGGCATGCCGCCAAACTTCACCATGGCATCATGGGCCTCGATGGTGGAGACCTGGAAGGCATCTCCGGGCACACGAAGTCCGAGGTCTGTGGTGATCCATCCAACGGTTGCAAGCATTGCAACTCGCCCATGTTTAAGTTCCGCCTCACGCAACCAACCAATCTCAAAGGCCAAGGAGAAGCCCATTGGGTCGAAGCCCTCTTCTTCACCGGGGATGCCCTCCAGAGCAGGGGACATGGGGAGAAAAGGAACAGCTGCGCTCATCTTGTAGCCAGCTTGCCTTGCAACCACACCTCTTTGGCTCTGGCTACGGCCGGCCACTAAGGAGCCCGTCTTAGCCACTGACACTGAGGAGCTAAGTCCGAAGGACTTCTGCTCCTTCTGCGCGTAGAGCCAGGGGAAGCCATTGCCAGTCAGAGTTGCCTGCGTGATTGCACCACCAAAGGCCAGCATGGCAAGGCGCCCATTCTTCAACTCCTTAAGCTTCATCTCCTTGACCTTGGCCGGGTCACTGGGAAGGAAGCTGGTGCCGAGCTGATAGTCGCCAGCATTCTCAAGGGTGAGGCCAGGCTTGTTTGAGACATTGCAGGTCTTTGCGAAGGTTGTCAACATCTCGATGAGACCGCAGAATGCATAGACCTGGAAGAGGGGACCTGCCTGGTCATCCGCGCCAGCGAAGAAGTCGCCGGTGTTGATGAGAAATGGAAAGGGAGGATTTCCTGCACAGGCGTTGTGGGCATCCACAACGGTCTTTGCTGCATAGCAAGGATGGGATCCAGGAATGCGGACAACCTCCGGAACTACCAAACCCACAAAAGCAAGCATTGCAATGCGGCCATGTTTGAGCTCTGACTCTCGGAACCAAGGCAAGTACTTCTCGCACTTGACTGACAGGCCAAGCGGGTCGAAATTGAAGTCCTGACCTGCGAAGGCAGACTCGCCTCCAATCAAACCGCCTGCGAAGGGCTTCTCGTCTGTGACTCCTGTGGCCTCTGCACGTCGGGCGGTCTTGCCGCGTGCAGCCCGTCGGCTGGACACCAGCACTAGCGCAGCTGTGGCCACTGCAGTAGCAGCTGTTTGGCCTGAGCTTGCCTGATTGCTGGACTCGGTGTATGTGACTTGGGCTCCTCTCAGGGCGCTGCCAGTGCTGCTGCAGCCGGTGGACGGTGCCACGAACGCCGATGCTCCTAAAACGGAGGCGCCTACGGCGCCAAGAGTCAGGGCACTCCTGGTAGTCATGGCTCAAGTGGCGTGTTTGTTTGGGGCTACAGTATTGTATACTTGGACCCAAAGTTGGTCCCTTTTGGCGGTTGGTGACTCCTCAGTTAGGAACTCCCCAAAAGCACTGCTGGTGCTGAAGCCAGGATCCCTGCGCGGCATGATCCTGCACATCAACCCCATATAAACCCCACATCCGTGTATAAACCTATATACCCCCATATAGCCCCTACATGAACTCTAGAAATTCCTAGGAATTAGGATTTAGGGTTTGGGGTGGCCTCTAAGATCACGTTCGGTATCAACAGTAGGCTGTCGTTACTAAGGTTCATGTGTAGTTACAGCTATGAATTAAGGAGCCATACATATAGCCCAATCTCTGATACCCTTGACCACAACTACTCATGAACCTTTTCGTGCCCAGCGAGGCCAATACCCTTCAAGTCAGCAAAATACTTGAGGTGGTAGTAGGATCCCTTTTATGATCTAGTATTGTGCCTCTGAGAACATAAACGTCCACGATTACTCAGAAAAAGCTACCGCTCACTCCAAGTAAAACCCGATTGTAAGCCCCCTGAGTCCCCGAATATCTATTTCTAATCGGGTTCAAACAACAATCAGCAAGAGACTGCTAGCATGCATGGACCTGAAAGTAGGGTCTAGGTTGGGTCATTTCCCTCCTTACAGCAACCTGTCCTTATTAAGTGGCTCTTCTGACTCCTATTACCCATTGTGCCAATACTTACTGTAAGGGGTAATGACCCTAAATCCTAAACTCTATACCCAATCTACCCTACGCGCTAAACCCAAAAAAAACCTATAAATACTTAACCGGCAAACGCTTGCCATGACCATCCATTGCCCGAGGCACGGCGAGGTGCACTGCCTGACTGTTGATCGGGTTTAGGGTTTAGGGTTGGGGAAGTTGAGCTTTGGGTTATTCAGTTTAGGGGTTGGGGTGTAAGCTTTTGGGAGTTCAAGGCTTGGAGTTTAGAGTTTAGAGATTTGGGCTCCAATTCAGTGTTCGGGTTTAGAGATCCGGACGCAAGCCAAGGATAGCCGAGATTCTACCTCCCTTCCTGGTACGGTGGCACCCTATGCATGTATCCTTTTCGCAAGGATGATAGTCTTTACAGGTCCTACTTTGAGGTTCCATTTTAGCTGGGCAGAGGCTGGCAGCCTAAGTTCTTAACCTGGGTTGCTGTTAAGGAACTTAATTTAAGTTACTATATTTGGGAAACTCTATTATTTACTATATATACCCATTTAATGGTAACTTAACTTAAGTTCCTTAACAGCAACCCAGTAACGTCATGGTGGAGAATTTTTGTTCCAGCTTATTTTGGGTGTTCTTCTGTATCAGCTAGCATTTGGGCCGAGGTCGGCTGAGGCCGTCATAATCTGCATTACTGATGGTTACCACCACATGAACATGTCTAGTCACAGTCTTAGCATTTTTACCAAGACTGTCCACAATGAACCACCACCGCCGCGCACGATATTCATCCCACTCACCTATGTACATAAACACACATACACCTGTATATAATTAAGTGTTGTTGTCCGTGGAATGTGTATTCTTGCCGGGGGGGGCAGCTTCATCACTAGGAGAATGGCACACCCCCCCCCCCCAAAACCAAACAATAAAGTTCAAAAATCCTAAGTTCTGCGCCCTAAAAGCTGACAAAAATGGTGAATACTGAGCCCTCGCGCCTCACCCCTTTCCCCCAAACCTCCTCTAAACCAGAAGCAGGGTGGAGGATCACTGGTAGGCACGCTACGAGCAGGAGCGTAATGCTTGCAAGTAGCTAGAAGAGATTCAACTAAACGCTAAACCCAAGCCTGTGTGGGGAATCCCTAGGCCCCAAACCCTACACCTTAAACCCCTAAATCTCAAACTCCTAAACCCCTGAATCCCTACACCCCTGCACCCTGAACCCCTAAACTTCTGAATCCCTAACCCAAACCTACACCACGAAACCCCTAAACCCTAAACCCCTAAACCCTAAACCCTAGTTAAACCCTAAACCCCCAAGGAGGATCACCATTTCCGTCCCAGCTACGGCTGCGCTCGCGTCGCCGGCTGCGTGGACGGCTCCTGGAGCCAGGATCCTGGAGAAGGGTTGAAAGTTTAGGGTTTAGGGTTTAGGGCTTAGGAAAGTTTAGGGCTAGTTATGTTGGAGTAAAATTGGAGTGATTTTTGGATAATGGAAAAGAAAAAAGGAAACGACTATATTACAATAGGGTATATATTGGGGTTATATGGGTGGTTGTCAAAATTATGGACCCTTTTGTGTCTAGGGGTTAGGGCTTAGGGTTTAGGGGTTTGGGGTTTGCGCTTTTGAGGTTTCAGGGATTTCATGTTGGCAAACAAGGTTTTTTCGGGTGCAGAGGCCCTGATAGCATGGTTCAGGGTTCAGGGGGTCAGGATTTGAGGACTTGGGAACTCTAGGGACCAGGGCTTAGGTGTTAAGTTTCAGCTCTCGGAATCAGGGGTTCAGAGTTCGGTTTGGGGATTCTGGGCTTGGGTGGCTGACAATCAGGCATGGCTTGTGCAAAAATGTCTGGACATTGCGACTTCATAGAGTACATGGGTTGCTCCGCAGCCATGTGGGAATCAATGGGTCCCAGTTTGGGGTCCTAACTACGGCCTCAACTGATTGTGTTTCTTTTGGCTCCCAAACTTTGAGAACTATCCATGGAGGCTTTGCATGAAGGCACAGTAACCACCACAGGAACTCTACATGCACCCAAAAAATTTCCCCGGTGCTGCACAGCGCTGAAGTTACATTGCTTTGAACTGTTGACGGGCTTTATAATGTCAACTATCGAGCTTGACATGGAGTATATTGATGAGAAGCCAGATCGTATTGGGCTTTCTGCGCATGGGGTAAGACATCCAATGGGGTACTACTTAAGGAGCATGCCCTATAATAATGGGAAGGTCTTGCTATGTCTTTGACAAGGGAGTTTCGAGGGACTCCACTGAGGGGAGTCCCATATTTGCAGGCACTTGGGTGGATGGAAGAAATCTTGCACCACATAGGATCCCTGAAATATTGTACTTCCTAAGGAATGGCGGTACGCGTGGTGCACGGGTTCTTCCAGCTACAGTGGGGGGGGGGCTATGGCTATGACTATGGCGGCTTCCGCGAGAACTTCCTTACGACCAAGGATTAAGCCGCTCCTGCGCTTGGACGCACTCGATGGATCGTCCCGCGATTTTGTACATGTGGAATGCCTGGATGACCTGTACAGATCATCGCCAAGAGTCACAACAGCAAGGAGGACAAATCTAAGTGCCATCTGCTTCGTCCAAGACGTGCCTCCTACTGCCAGCGCCTAATTTACTGTCCCTCTGCTTGTCATTATGAAAACAGGATGCTCTTAATTTTGGCTGTGGCCCGCTGAAACTTTGAACGGCTGTGAACTCAGGGTAGGGTTCAAGGCTGTATATCTTGGTGACAAGGTGCGAATATACTACTTGAAAGCTTGAAGGAGTGGAAAGGAACATGGACCTTAAGGGGCCAAGGACCCAAATAATGGGGTTTTAAGGCCCAAATACTATATTATGAATGGTATTTGGGCCCTAAAGCCCTCATTATTTGGGTCCTTGGACCCTCAGGGACAGGCTACTATGCTCGACATTGTTCAAGGGTTGAGCTATCAGATGATGGCCCGGGAGGCTTCGGAATGGGTTGTACATGGGGTGGTGCTTATTACCCCCGAATTTATCATTTAGGGTACCATATGGTAGTTTCCCTAAATTACTGTTCCCAAAATGGGGGAAATTTATATAGGGCCCCGTATTATAATGGGAACCCAAATATAGGACCCCGTATTATAGGGAATTTAAACCAATCCCCATATGC